TTCGATTATCAAACGGCCTGCAATTCTAATTTGTGTGGTACCTTGCTCAGGTCGCTCTACGCCTCTACCACTCCTTGCAGGCATCCCCTGTGATACGATATTGTAATTGAAGCAGCTGAAGCGTGTGTGTATGCTTCTTGCGCGCTCTCTTGTCTTGTGAAAGGTAAAAGTGGTCCAGGTTCTCGATTATTGAAGTTTCCGTACCTGCATCGTGCGTCCTCTCTTCAGCACGTGCTATAGACTAAACAGGGATTGCGCAGGCGGTCATGTGAATGAAAAGCATGGTTTTCAACCTATGACGTGGATACACGACTAATTTTGCGACCTGTGATGTGGATGAATGGCTGAGTTTGCGACTCATCCGTGATGTATCTTCTTACAGCTATTTAAGAATATAGTGCGTCATTTAATCGACGAAGCATTGTATCGCATCATATACTAATTTGTTGATCGACGGAAGTACATGAATATCTTCTATCACGTTAAAAAGATCTTATCGGTTGTTAATGCATGAGTGACGTGGGTTGCAGCGGATCATTTAAGCGAGTATTAGCTTCGCAACCACCACAATTATTACAGTATGGGCGACTGCATGTACTTCATGTTTTCTAAAAAAAATGCTGGACTTATACCCGCTAGTCTTAAATAAATAAAGTGCATTTCTGTAAGCAGCCTGGTCATTGATTCCAGTCTTTATCAATGTTTCATTATTTTAGTCGTTAATATTTTTTAACATTTACGTGTACTTAACATCTTATCATTACATAGGACAACAGAACAATTGCATACTTGGATAAAAATAATTCCTCTTATAACACCATTACGCTTCATTTAGCATCGATAGATTATGATATGGAAACACAGCTGCTTCACAATTTGAGGGTGCTTATCACGCGAAAATTAAGAGTTTGCCCAACAGTTAAACGCTTTCCAGATTCTACGAAAACATTTTGAGGGGTGTTGAATCCAATTACAAAAAATCAGCAAAAAAATAGCGCAGGAGAGATGCGAGATACTTAAGAACCTGTCTATTCATCAATTTTCATAGCTCCATCGCAAGATATCGCGACACGAGCTGGTGCTACTAAAAAACGGAGTGTCTCCTCTCGTTATCATTCGTGCAGATCTCGAGACGTGCAACCACTACTACTCAATATTCCTGAGGAATTATGTGCAGACGTAATCAGCTGCCTTATTGAAACAAGACCACCTATTGTATCAGTATATTTGTGAAATAATAGAAATTGGATATCGACGGTATTAAATCCAACCTCGACTTCGAGACTTTCGGTACCTTGCTCCCCTTCTTAATTCAAAAAAATTCTAGAAAGAGGTCGCACTTGAAACCCACGCAATGCCATCCTTCGAGATTCGATCAAGTGGAACGGCAGTTCGTTCGTGACACCTGCAACCACTCCCTAAAAATGGACATGACCGGCTTCATTGTCTCTTACGTGCAATGATTAAGTCAGTCAAGCCAAAGACGCGTGTATCTCCTCCAATCCGTTCGAAATGCCGCCATAGCGACCTGTGCATTTGAATATACCGCTACCATCGTAAACTTTCCTCTGTAACGCTACGATGCAGCCACTCTTGTCTATGATGAACTGCCATACTGATTCTGCTTCACTCTAAAATGCTGCAGGCTCCACTAATTCAGTTTCCGTTCCTTCCGATTCCGCCGTCGCGACGTTGGCTCATACCGCGCCATTGCAGGAGACGTCGTCTCGCAACTGAAATATACAGCACGTTTTAAAAAACGAAGGGTCATACTTATCTTCGAGACATTCCTATTATAGCATGTAAGAAAGTAACCTTTACTTAACCTTTTTGCATATATTATATAAAGCTATGAAGATTCTAATTGTAACACACATTTTATAGGCAACCACCTATTTTTTGTTCATTTCTCCGGATTCGGGCCCTAGCGAATGTCCAACTACATGAACTACGAAGCAAAAGGGAGTATACATCCAAAAAAAGGCGAAAAAAGTAATAATTCAAACGCGTTATTTAGCCAAACACCAGGCATTTTTATGGGACCTTCATCCTTTTGGTGAAAGATATTAATCGCAACGCGCTAGCATTTATAAATGATGTTCAAATATTATTTTGGGGTGAACCTGTTATATGTAATTATACTTTGGTACTTGTTAATCAAAATATTATCATAAAAGTTTATAATAATCGTGGATATTACCATTAGGGATAATATCACTCACCAACTGGCTAATATGGGTCATCATATCAGTTAGTTCAAGTTGTCTAATCAAGGATGGACGCGCGCAATGAGTAGTGAGCAAGACTTTAGCATACACCTTTGTAGAAATATGTGATAAAGTTGGGACTAAAGCAAAAGTTGATATTTATAACTTTTTTATACTAGATGCAGTTTTGCTTTTACCAGCAACTAGTCAGTAACCTAGTTACCTTCCCTTCCTCTGCCAGATTACAACGGTATCGAGGTACAGCTCACGCTGCTGTCGGTGATATTAGTTGTTAGAAATCGCATGTCTGGCCGTATAGCAGTTTCTGGCGGCGCGAAAGGACGCGTCTTTTCGGTAGCGCTAGGCGACGCAAAGGAGGCAGCAAAGAGGTGTTTATAGATTCGAGGGCGACGCTAGAGAGTGGCTGGTGCAGAGAGATCGCAGCTAGCTAGCACAGCAAGAGCGACAGAAGCGACAGATGAACACATAATCGATTTCATCTATCACACCTCATGTCCATCCTTTCTTACAGTAGCTTCATACTGGTTGTCCAGTGTGTTGCTTCGGTGCCCCGTTACAACTATCGTCCCATTCTTGCTTGATCGGTTAAATGTGGAGGAAATCTATCGCAAAAGGTGTGGGTAGTCCAATGATTAGCTTAATCAGTGCCATACAAGGGGCTACACCAGTTACACATAGCGACTGAGATGCATTCGATTGGATCAAGAGCATTCCGTTTTATCAATTTCAAGTCAGTGGCGCCACGTTCTAACGTTAATTTTTGTGATAAAAAGAGCTTTTGAGGCACAAATGTGCTTGCTTGCAACGAAAGGCGTGCAGGAAGCGATGCTCAATGAAAGCGATATTGTAAGGCACGTCACTAGTCATTGCTTTAGAAAGAAAGTAGAAAGCGGGTCATAGTTACCCGGCATTTCTCGTGCTCATCAATTGCATTCATTTGGGTAAGTTTCATCAATAGGATACACTGTACAGCTTCAGTAGGTGCTGCAAGGTCCTCGGCATTTTTGCAAGTGATCCTGGCAATACACTTTGCTCAATAAATAGTGCTTTCTCTCACTAAAACAAACTGGATTAGTAAAAAGATCTATAAGCCAATCAATGCGCGGTACGGCGGATCCTGTATATCCAGTTGTCGACAGCAGCCCATATCTTGGCGTCGTTGGCTTCTCATGTATTCTTTTGTCGTTTTTTTATCTGTGCTTTATAAGTTTTCGAAAAAGCAAACCTCCCTCGAGTGATTATCCCTTGCTCTAAAATCCCGTCGTCACTATGAGCTCCACCCACGACGCAGCCGAAGCGCAGAAGACGTGTGTAGTTCCTATAGAGTGGCCACATATCACTCCGTTATACTCACTCACATCTCTCTATCCCTCTTCTCTAGACTCGGCAACGAGGAGTTTAATGAAAAGAACTTTGACAAGGCGGTCGAGTGCTACTCAGAGGTGTTCCCCCTACTTAATGATACTTAGCATTTTTCGAGGGTACTGAAATACGATCAATTGCTGCAGGCCATTCGTCTGAACCCGGAGAACTTCGTCTACTATTCGAATAGAAGCGCCGCGTACGGAGCTGTAGCCAAGTGGGATCTGGCCGAACAAGATGCACAAGAGTGTGTGAAACGCAAGCCCGAGTTTGCCAAGGGCTACCACCGTCTCGCCAATGCGCAGCACCAGCTGGGCCGCAAAAAAGAGGCAATTGAGACGCTTCAGACGGCGCAGCGCGTCGCAACGGATCCGGAGAAAGTGCCGGGTATAAAGAAGCTGTTACGTCAGCTGCAACAAGAACTGGCTCCCAAGAGCACGTTGCCGCTGGAAGGTGGGAATACCCGTCAAGTTCCTGGACATATTGCCAAGGAGCTGCAGGAGCTGCAACCGCAGTTTCAAAAGATTGAACGAGAGTCGGAACAGATTGACATGAAGCTGGCTGCGTACATGCGGCAGAAGAAACGGCTGGCGCTGGTGGAGCAGGAGGTGGCCGACCTGCCGGAAGGGACGAGGACGTACCGCAGCATTGGGAAGATGTTCTTGCAGACTGATCGTGACGAGAGTACTGCAAGTATCAAGGACGAGGAGAAGCAAGTGGACGGACAAGTGTCGTCGCTCGAGGCGAGAAAACACTATCTGAACCGCCAGAAGCAGCTCGTGCAGGACAACATGACGGAACTCCTGGCTCAATGCACCTAGTGGCTCGAGAGTTGAATAAGACGTGACAGACACGCACGACTATAGTGAGAGCATGTATTTGAGGTCTTACGTTAATTGCTGATTACGAACGCATACACAGCAATGGATGGATGTGGAACAACTGGAACAGCTCAGCCAGAAAAACGACACGACGACAAGGGCATCGCGTCGCTGCGTTGTTGTGACGATCCCTCTCAACTGTGATATCACTCGGGTTTTGTCCGCCGCTAAATGGAGAAACAAACACAAGAAGCGTTTTAACATGCGATCCCACACCGACCTCGTTTCGACGATTTTACTACCTCTTCTACAGCACCAACGCCCTCGACTCGCTGTCCAATCAGAACGTGTCAAAAAGCCCGGACAGAGCCGTTGTCGCTGACTCCTCCTGTCTCGTCATATCCGTCGCTTCTACCAAAGTACGAGCGACAGATTCCCTCGCTCACTCTCTCTTTCTGCCTCTACCTCGTACCCCATTGATTTCCACCGTCCGCCCATTCACTGACAACTAGACGACGACTTCCTTTCGTACGACAATCAAGAAAAGGACTCCAGCGCTAGCAGCACAGCTACAAAAAGGACCGCGGCCATGCAGGCGCTTCAAGACGCGCAGCAGCGCTTTAATGACCTTGTGAATAATGACACTGTCGTACGTATGCAGCTGTCACTACACCGAGGGAACACGTTTGGTCCTGTGGCGCACTGTTCCAGATTTAGGTTCTGACGGACTGACCTCTTTTTGGTTTGCTTGTTATTATCATATGGTGCCATGCTTGTTCTTGTAACGTCGTTGAGCTCATTAGTGGCCCGAGCGCGTGCCGGTGACGAATCTGCCGGACTTTGACGCCTCGTTTATGAAGGAAGGGTTTCTGCAAAAGAAAGGCCAGCGGCTCAAAGGATGGAAACGTCGCTGGTTCGTCTGTGACGGCCGCACGCTGTCGTACTATATCTCGAAGAAGGACCGGAAGCCGAATGCCGTGATCCCTTTAGAAGGCTGCAGTGTCGAAGACGGGGGACTGAGTGAGACGTGGAACTCGCCGCGCATTTATTTGACGGACCCCGCGACCGGGATCATGTACTGCTTGTCCGCAGAAGAAGGGACCGTGGTCACGCAATGGCTCCATGTCTTGCGCGCAGCGGTGGCTCGAGTTCAAAGTGGATCCACTGGGAGTGACGCGAGTGTCGAGGCATCGTCACAAGGCTCGGCACTGAAGCAACGCTCAGGACGACAGCAGAACAAGTCGCAGAGGCCACGGCTGCCGTCGGCTTCTGATGATGAAGACGGTCGCGTGCATCTCAAACGCGCGTCATCAATGGAACCGACTTCGACCTTACCGAGATCAACATTGGTAGGATCAAATGCTCCAGCATCGTCAAATGCAGCTGCAAGTGGCGAGAAGAAGAGGCGTGCGGCTCGGGTGGTAGCAGCACCTTTGGTGACCGGTACGAGTTCGAATAGTACGGCAACGTTACCGCCGTTACAGCAGCAGCATCACCGCCCTCATCGTACGAAGACACAGCGCTTGCCGACGACTATTTCGCTGGAAAATGAGCTGTCGTATGGACTTGATGTACTGGAGGCACTGTTGTGTGGCCACAGCATGACAAGGTCATCGTCTCCGATTCGCAATCACGTTGTATTTCGACCCATGGGTGCATCCAACGGCGTGTTGCGTAGCCTTGGGACGGACATGAGTTCTGGAAAGCAGTATGCGCGAGCGAGCGTTGTCTTGCCTGTGTCGTCCGAAGTGGCGGCGATATTGCTGGCCGACCATGCCCGCCGCGCCGAGTGGGATTTACACTTCCCACAGTCATCGCACGTTGCCACGTTTGACGATGCAACGGATCTCGTGCACTTGTCGAGTGGCAGCTTTGCGCAAGTCCAGAAAACGAAGCCGTTTATAGCTCCACACGTGGCTGCCACAGTGTGTGCTTTGTGCGCAGCACTTTTGTGGAGCACTGCATCGTGGGAGGCATTGCTGACTGCTATGACATACGCTGCTGCCGTTGGTGGTATCGTGAGTACCATTGATCACAGTGCATTCACTGCACCACGTGATCTGGTGCTTTTGCGTCATGTGCGCGAGTCTGCTGCACCTGAGTCGCACGATTCGAGCGAAGACAAGTCCGTGGATGAGATGGGTCGTTCTGTGGTGCTCATTTTGGAAAAGTCGGTGGTGAACGAGTTAAAACCGATCGTGCCTGGAATAGTGCGTGCGTGTGTGGGCTTGAGCGGCTGGTTGCTGGAGCCGGTCGCATTAGGACGCGCTACATTGGTCACCTACATCACCGATTTGGATATGCAGGGTTGGTTGTCACCGTCTGCACGACAAAGCTTTCTGCTTTCGCGCCTGGATTGTGTGTCTGTTCTGAGTGAATACGTCAATCAGGCGCAGTTGTGTGGGTCAGAGCTTGGGTTTGGTGGCGGTCTGGACGAGGACGGTGACGGCGAGTACGATTCTCGAAGTGCTGGGTACGAAGAGACTGGCGATGGAAGTCTTGGGGATGCTGCCGATAGCGAGTCATCTGCGATTTTCCACCCAAAGATCTATATGCGTGGCATGATGCCATTGCCTAGCGGTGGCTTGAAACTGATCGACAAAGAGGTTGCGAAAAAGCAAGGTGGTGTGGTGAAGGATGTGATCAAATCTGCAGGAGCAAAGATCCTGGAGGGCAAGTCAGCTGTTAGTCTGTCACTGCCAGTGCGTATTTTTGAACCTCGCACCAATCTAGAACGTGTGTGCGATCTGATGCTGTATGCGCCAACGTTCTTGAATGTTGCGTTCGCACAGAATGACGCATTGGAGCGCTTCAAATACGTCATGACATTTGCTGTGGCGGGGCTACATCACAGTGTTGGACAGCTGAAGCCATTCAATCCGATTCTAGGTGAGACGTTTCAGGCCACGCTGAACGACGGCACTGACGTTAGCTGCGAGCACACGAGCCACCATCCTCCTATCAGTAACTTTCAGTTCACTGGGGACAAATACTCGATTGCTGGGTTTGTGCTTTGGCACGCCAGCATGAGTGTGAAGTCCAACGCAATGCTCAACACAAACAAGGGACCAGTTCGTATCACATTCCCTGACACCAAAGATCTTCCTGGAACGACTGTCGAGTACAATCTGCCGTACTTGCAGATTGGTGGTCTGCTGTGGGGAGACCGTACGGTTGACATTATGGGTAACATGGTGTTTGAAGACAAGAAGAACCATCTGCAGTGTGAGCTGCGCTTGAACCCGGATGCAAAGTCGGGCATGGGTGGTATGTTCATGTCCTCGAAGACTCCGACGGATTCTCTCCGCGGTGTGATCTTGGACACTTCGGTTACACCCCCGCGTGAGATTTGTGATGTCTCTGGCTCGTGGCTGCACGAGCTTGTCTTTGGCAACAAGACATACTGGGATATCAACAAGTACCAGAGCGGCTACATGGTGCCTTATCCAAAAGAAAAGATTCTGGCGTCCGACTCGCGGCACCGCGAGGATCTACATTATCTGGCAACAGGAGATTTGGATGAATCGCAGGAGTGGAAGGTGAAGTTAGAGGTGTTGCAGCGTGCTGATCGCAAAGCGCGTCTAGAGGGTCGGCGTCCGAATCACTGGTCTTATCGAGGTGCTGCTGGCGGTCATTAATCCGGTCGTGGTTCATGAACATTGCAATAAAGTCGTACAACAGCAACGGTACCAAAGTCTTATTCATCCCCCTCGTTGACGTCCTAGCACCTTTGCGATCGATCATCGGCGAAAGCGGCGCATCTTCTGTAGCTTGGCTAGCAATCTTGTGTCGTCGTAAGTGGTGTTACCATCAATGCTAAAACTTACTTCCACGCCGTCTGTAGCGCCTTGCGCCGCGCAAGAGCTTTCGTGAGGTACGTCGCCACGAGAAAAGCCAAACACAGGAGAATCAGCATCTCATGATTGAAGTCGGACGGAAGCAGGTCGAACGACTTTGCAGGCGTCATGCGCACGTAGAACATGTCAAGACCGTGCGCAAATACCAGCGTAGTCGACTCGAGCTCGGCGGAAGCCGTGCTAATGGATTGCAAGTTTTCCACCGTACGATTGTACGTCAGCATGGCCTGAGGTCGGCTATACACGGGCACTAGCGGTGAATACATCATCAGTCCTTCCGCCTGCTCCTCGGGTGTTGGTGGCTTCTCCGGCTGACGCGGGTCGATCAAGTTGCGGGCCAGCTTATATATCTGCCAGTCTCCATGCCGACCAAGATGGACTGAGGCGTGATACCGTGCGCCGTCACCGTCACCTGCAGGGACTACAGAAATGGATGGTAGACAGACACAATCAGCAACAACGCAATGCTGGCAAATGAGCAGGAACGTGTCAGGGCACATACCGTAATCTTGGTAGGGTAAATAAAGCTCTTCTGAAGGATGAAGGGTGCCTTGGAGTCGAACGATGACCACGTAGAAGTCCATGATGGTCGCTTCCACGGATTGAGCGAATGCATTCCCACGGCTCCGTCGAAGAGCGATAGCGACACCATCTCAGAGCGCTTCTCTCTTAGGTTCCA